TTGTCAAAGAAAATAAACTGTTATGATTTATAAATAATATACTATAATAAATAATAAATAGAATTTTTAAGGTTTAAAATGCTTATAGTTTCAGCTTATAGTAAAAAATAGTTTCGATCTATATATATTTTTGATCAGAGTTTTAAATTTTGGTACTAGTTTCAAACTAGAGTTTCAGACTTTAGATTCAGTCATATTCTTAAAAGATTTTAGCTACCACGTACACAATGTGAAGAATTAAATTGATTTTCCATAGTTGTGACTTTTTACTAAGATTTTTACATATTCAGAATATGTTTTTATAAAGATTATTAAATAAAAATGGATTTTTTAAAAAAAACAAGCTCATGGGAATTCAAAGATATATGAAATAGTCTACATATATAAGATGGGCTTTATGATGTTTTCAATATTTATTACATAATAAATAGTAATTGCAATATTTATTTTATTTATAAAAATATTTGCTAATATATATAGGAGGTTCTATTAAATCGAGTTTACAAATATAGTAAATCATGATCTGTAACAGCTTACCTTCCATATTATCTCATAAAAAATATAAAAAGTGATGACATTTAGATCTTCACATTTCATTTATAATAAAATAATCCAAAGTTTCTTGCCAATCATTTCCGGTAATTTGCAACACTTTTGTTTATTTACAAATTGTAAAAATTCAAGAGAACATCAAGTTGTTGACTATATAATAACTTTCATAAATTATTAAAGAAATAAATCAAGCTTATTTTAATTTATATACCTGTGAGTGCTCTAAAAGCTGCTACATTCTCAAGAAATGTTAGCAGAATCTCTCCATTTAAATCTAAAATAGGTTCAAAATTAACATTTAGATCATAGATTTGAGAATTAAAGGTTTGTGAAAGAGATTGTGTATTCTTAAAGTAATGAATAAGGTAATAACTATCTAATAGTTGATTAAAAATTATACATTAATAAATAATACCTACAAATTTCAGATTATTGCCATCATATTATTAAAATTTCGATTTGAATTATTGGTAATATAAGTTTCAAGATCTTATTAAAGTTTTCAAAACTGACTCTCAAAATTCATGCTTAACAAGTTTAAAAACAAAGCAAATTCTTGTGTGACTGCTTGAAATGCCTGAGCTAAATTTGTGAAATTTGGTTGTTAAGCCTACAAAAAAGAGTAGACTTTAAAATATAATTTTAAAAGATTTAAACTATTATTATTTTTAATTTACCATTATGTAATATTGAACAAAAAAATTGAATTACTGATAGAGAAAGAGAGAGAAAAAGAATAAGAGAGAAATTGTAAAGTTTATATATTTATAATTAAGTTAATAGTCTAAATAGACTCAATAGATAATCAAATAACTGTACAGTAGGTACCATAAACAGCTGACTAAATACCCAGGTACAATACAAATTTCATAAAATTTGCAAAATATTATTTTTAAAAAAAACTCTAACTTTACAATTAATTTTCCCCTAAATTATACAAATAATATGGTAATATTCAGAACTTATTATTGGCATGATTTTTTCAAAATTCTATATATTACCTTTTTTTTACAATTAGCTTGTATAGTATTCCAGATATAAGTATAAGAAGGATATTATACTATAGGAATACTTTAGTCAGCTGTTTACAGTAGGTACAGTGTGACGTAATTTTTTTATAAAACTGGTATTAATACAAATCTGCAATAAAGTAATAAAGTATATATGCAGTTTTCAAAACTTATTTGCATGAAAGATAAAATCAGAGAAAGTTTTATATTCATTTTATTTGAAATTACTGAACCTATTATTTTATTCAATACATGTATTACATGGACTAGTTGGTCTTATGTAAAAAAAGTTCTAGATTATACAAAACTTAGTATTTTTTATTCAAGAAAAAGCTAATAAGAAACTTTTTGATTTTTCTATATACAAAATGGTATAATTGTAAAGAATATCTTTATTTGATTTAATTATATTCTGTGTGTAAAAGATGTAAATGTAATAGTAACCAATTAAATATTTTAAATATAAAAAATCTAGTAACAGCTTGTTGAAATATAAAAAAATTTATTATTATTTACCTAAATAGTGAAAAATAGTTCAATAATACAGAAAATGTTATATATTCAAAAGAATAACTCATCTTTTAATAGTGAAAATCTTAAAAATAGCTAAATTTACTCTGTAAATTTCATTTTCACTCAATAATATAAAGAATATCAATAGATTTTAGCAAAGTAAAAATGGCTACTAAAACTATTGATGCTATCATTATTTTCTTTTTTCAAAATGTCTCATATATCACATATATAGCATTTTTTATCTATTAATAAATTGAGCTTTTTTTTATACTCAAATTGCAATTGTATTATAAGATCAAATTATTTTAAATCATTCTATTGTTACTTACAAATTTGATATTGTAATTTCAATTTTATACTAAATGTAAAGTTAAATGTAAATCAAATAAATAAATCAAAAATAAATTTAAAAAATAAGCATTTTCTTTCTATATAATATTTTTTTATTCACTTTCAAGATAAGTATCTTTTTTCAAACTCTTTAATAATAAAAAATTTTTCTTTTTTGATAACAATTTTTAGTAGTTGTTATATTTGAATTTTTAATTTACAATTTTTATTAGATTTTTTAAAATTCACAATGATTTTTAAAATACCAGAATTTTTTATTTAAATATTAGGCAATTAATAATTCATACTATTGTAAAATACTTCTATTTTTTCTCATCTATATCTTTTTTATTATGTAACTTTTTTGTTAATATTATTAAATGGATCTGTCAGATCTCTTTAGTTTAAAAAATCTTTTTGCTAGGTCATATTATATAAAAAGGTTTTTAGAAAAATCAGATTCAGAAAATTTTTAACTAAAATTAAAATTTTAATACATTTTAATTTAATAACATCAAAAACTAAAATGCAATAAAAACCTCAATTTTGCTAAAAAATTCTCAGAACCTGATTTTTCTAGTAATCAACCTATATATAATATATTAATTATCTATATAACAATTTTTTTACCCTTTTTGTTAAACTCTGCTTTAAATATTTTAATAATAAACAAAATTTCTTTTTAAAAATATTAAATAATAATATTAATTAAATGTTTAATATTCAGATCCCTTTCTCTCATTTTCTTGCTAAGTTATAATCAATATCATAGTAAATAATTAAATAATAGCATTTTTTAAATAACAGATTTCCTATTTGATTTTTTATTTCATCAGATAAGTTAATTAGTTATCTGATGTCTTAATACTAATTTATAGTTAAATAACTTCTTATTATATTATTTATTTAAATATTTGCTAACAATAATGATGAGGGACGAAACCCCTTAATAACAGTCGAAACTTAGACGAAACTATATTAAAATCATAATAAGGGATACGACGAAACCCTTTCGATACGACGAAAGCCGAAACTGTCGAAACTATATTAAAAACATAGAAAAGGGTATGACGAAATTATTTTGAGGAGGTTTCGGCAGGCATCTATAGCTAACAAATAAAAAATATCTTTTATTTTTTTATATTTTTTCAAAAAAGATAGTGCTTTTCTTCTTTCTCTTATAATGTATAATAATATTAATACAGTTAACTCTAAATATAACGAATCTGTTTATACTGAAATTCATTATACTGAATTATGTATTGCAGAACTAATTATTTATAATTATCAGGTTGAATATAATGAATTCATATAATAAAATGTTATATATCGTATCTGAACTTACCTTAACTGAACAGGTATAGTAAGTTATATATTTGATAAATTGAATGATCATGTGATTTAAAATTTAGCATATGAGATTGTGTAATTGATAATAAAATTAAAAATGTTATACTAACACACTATAAATTATGTTAACTACAGATAATCTGATTCAATAATCTTTATATTAGAACATGTTTTAAAAACTCTGATATATTAAGAAAGAGAGTTATTCTTTCTGTCGCATAAAAATGCAAAATTTGTGAAACAAAAGAAAATAACCTAAATATTTCTAATGTTAGTCTTGCACAACAATATCATATTAGAAAGTCAACAATTACTGACATTTTAAAAGAGAAAGAGCATTGGCTTGCAATTTCAAAAAGTCAAGAAAGTGTTAAAAAATTTTGTGATCCAAAGTGACCTCAACTTGAAAATGCACTCTTTGGGTTGATAATACACTTAATATGAAGCAGGATATTGATGGTAATATTTTAAAAACAAAGGCAAACTACTTTGCCAACCAGTTTTTAATAGAAGATTTTTATTATTCAGATGGGTGATTAACTACTTTAAAAAATGTCATAGTTTATGTCAGTTCAAGAAGCAAGGTAAAGCTGCAAGTGTATTTTCTGCTAAATCAATAGAAAATGACCGCCTTGCTTTATAGCAACTTCTTGTATCTTATAGTCTAGAGAATATTTGAAATAGTGATAAAATGGGTCTTTTTTAGAAAATAGAATCTTCTAGAGTTTTAGCACATACTTTTTTATCAAAACATAAAAAAGAAAAATCTTATATTACAATATTTTATGTAGTAAATACAACCAGAACAGAAAAGATAGCTCTTACATTTATTCATAAATACAAAACTCCTTGCATTATGAAAAATATTAATTACAAAAACCTTCTAGTTTATTATTTTTAGAACAAAAAAGCTTGGATGCAAGTTAGTATTTAACGATATCCTTCTTAAACTTAATGAAATAATAAGGCAAAAAAATAGAAAGATCATCCTTTTAATTAATAATACGCAAATACACCTTATTTTAGATGAAATTCAAGAAAAGTTAGATAGTGTAAAGGTAAAATTTCTCCCATCAAATACTACCACTAAATTTCAACCATGTGATACAGGCATTATTTATTTATTTAAGTATCATTATAAATGCCTTTTTATTCAAAATCAGATTAATACATATGATGATATGTAGGATGATTAGTGAAAAAACTTAGTGATTATATGATCTATGATACTTTACAAAATGTGGCTAAAGCATGGTCTATGGTATCATTTCAAACAATATCAAACTTCTGGAAAAAAACAGGTATTCTTTTACTAAATAATGAAATTGACGAAATTTTTGATAATTATAATTCAGTAATTTCTGATAGGTATTGTGTGCTATATAATTTATATATAGGTATTATTTATCGCAAAATTTTATTAATGCAGCTATTTTTTTTAGTCTTGATATAGAAATTGATAAGCTTACTATATTAATTTTTCAGCTTCTAAAAAGTGATCTCAATGCACATGAATATCTTCATTTAGAGGATGAGATGCCAAAAGGTGGACTTACAGATCATGAAATAATTGATACTATTTTAAATGAAAAGGAGTATATGATAGATGAAGATGAATTTATATCTATATTGAAAAAAGTTAGTTTGATAAAAGCAGAAAATGCTGCAAATAAGATGATAAGATTTTTATATGAGCAAGAACCAGAGTTTGATGAAGTAAACAAAGAATTGAAAGTTTTAAAGAGATTGCATAAGTAAGTTAAGATACTAATTGTAAAAAATTTAAAACAAGATAATATTCATAATTACTTTTATAATAATATTGTTAAGTAATAAATTCGAAATAATGTATTATATATAGCTATAATACTTTTAATATAATAAATAGTTTTAAATTTATTACGAAATGATCACGTATCTGTATTTTTATTGGTCAATTTTATATACTGAATAGTTCAGTATAAAATATAAATATCATATAGAGAACTCACTTTATACCAAACTAAATCTTCCAGAATGACAGATTTGTTATATTCAGAATTAACTGTACTTTTCAGATATAAATTATTTTATTTAGAATATCTTTCATCATTTCATTCAAAAATTTAAAAAGTCTCTATTACTCATTTAGAGTAATTATATATAAAAGAAAATTTATTTTAAAATAATCATTATGCGATCTATTACTTAAAAATCTAATAGTTAATAAAAAATTATTTAAATTTTAAATTAAATAAACAAATTAACAGATATTTTTTTTTTTAATAATATAGCATTACTGATTACTTTATTAATTAATAAATCAAATTACAAATTAAAAAATAAAACTATACTAAATAATAGTTATTTTTTGTAGTTTATATTACAAATCTGTTTAAATCAACTTATCATCATATTTTCTTTTAATAGACTCACTAAATATATATTTAATAACTACTTTTATTATAAAGAAAAGAAAAAGAAAGTTAATGTTCAATTAAAAATCTAAAAATTTGCTATTATGTTTATTCATTAAGTTAATCTAAAGTTTTAAATATGAGACTTATCAGAAATAAATTGATGATTCACAAACTTATATTATATAAGCATTATTTTTCTTAATTATACCTTTAGAATATTCTTTTTTGATCAGTAAATTACATCTATGTTTTCAAATATTGTTATATATTTTTTTAAAGAAAAAAACATATTTTGATCATTATAAAGATCACTAAGTGTTTGCTTTTAATAAGTTGATATATTATAAAAACTATTGAAAATAAAATGTGAGACCTGATAATATTATAATATTTATTATTATAATTAGAAGAAGTAGCAATAACTTCATCAAAGAGATCAAGAAAATAGGAAGAAGTAAAAAAGATTGTAAGTTACTATTTTTTAAGATAAGTTTACTAGTAAGATTTTTAATATTTGAAATAATTTTATCTATTTTTATGGAAAATACATCAAAAGTCTAAAATAAAAAAATGTTTCTTATTAATATAATATCTAATATAATATTATCTAGCATAAAGATCAGAGTAAAGTTATTTATATATGTGAGAATAAATAGTTTGTTGACAAAATTTTTTATAATGAAAGTCTTAAAGTAAGTAAAGCAAAAAGGTTAATAGTACTAGTATATTTAAGTAAAATTATATAGTCATTCAATTTATAAATGACATTCTAGTCATTAATTTAAGGTCAAAATTTCTATTAAGATTTAAAAAATGATCAAAAGATAAGCTGAAAAAATTTTCTTAAAGAAGTTATAGATAGAATCTTCTATTGATACTTAAAAAAAAAATATATAAGTTTTAATTAATTAAAGAAGGAGTTAAAAATGAAGAAAAATATTCTTGCTTAATAAAAGAATTAGCAAAATCATTGAGAATGTCATTTATATATAATTTAATTTAAAATTGATAGTAAAGCAGAATAAGAATTGAATGTGATTGATAAAATTTATATAAAATAGTTAGAAACCTTCTTTATTTTACTAGTTAATAAGATATCTATCATACAGTGGTGAGCAAAAGAAACGCAACCACTATTGGTTACCTTTAAAAGCTTATAACAGGTTAACTATGGGGGCTA